GATAATCCAGTACAGTGATCATTTTTCTACACTTGTACTTGTTTCTGGCATTATAAACGAACATCCTGCTTTTGAAAACACCATTCTCTTTGAACAATTCTATCTTCTGCAATATAATGCTGTGTAGTCTGGTGAAAGCTAATTGACATCGCAGAGGAATATACTGCCTATATTCAGCTCATCTTGCTGCCTGTTTCTTGCTTGGATTACTCTTCAATCCTGAAGATGGAGACTAAATATTCTTCCAAAACATCATTTGACTTTCAGTGGACTACAGGTCATTATACTCCAGAAGCCAGAACTCTTCTTAGTGTACTATAATTTAGTACCTTCACCCTGTTAAACTAACCTACTGGATTTTCATGCTTGATAAAAAAATTATGATTGTTGAAGATAAAATCCTTAGATAATATCATATGGATCCAGCACCTGTTTCTTCTGGTAGTCTTTGATGGCATTTTCATAACCCTCCTCAAGACGTGAAAAGGCTATATTGACTTCTGTAGTCCACCAGATCTGGGTACCACAGAGGGACACCTGTGCTGGGTAGTCAAACAACCACTGCTCACGAGGCTTCTCCTCATAGCTCACCACAGCTTCAGCAAAATAATGGCAGAGGGAAGTGCGCATGGAATCTTGTAAACGATTTAACCACACCTCTACCTAGGAAACCAAGATAGTCAACTGTCATATTTTTTAAAATTTGTCAGTAAGAATTTGTGAAAGCTTAATTGTTTACAAGTTTCAAAAAAACGAATATATGCCATGTTAACACTGTAATTTTATGCAAATGTAGTTTGACATGATATTACAGTCTCAGTGACCATGAAGTAACAAATGTACTCCATCTAATGCTGAGGTCAAAAATGTGTGAAGCTTTACCTACACTCTCCTTATATGCTTTCATGGCATACACGGAACTTTATCTCTGCATCTTTGCTTACAATCTTTACAAATCTAGACTGACTACAGAGTTACACTGATATGAAACTTGTGTGTTCCTAAATTTTTATTTATTTATGGTTTATTTAACAATCCTCTCAGTAGCTCAGAATATGTATCACATCAAATGTTATGATTAATGAATGACAAATTGCAAAGAATATGGAAGCATTTGGTTATGGCTTGCTTCAGAGTTTTATCCTGGCATATGCCTGCAGGGAATGAAGCAACCCATGAAAACCTTAAGGTATGATTCGCAAGAAGCATCTCTTGCGGCTGGGCAATGCGGAGGTCTGTACATGCGCAGTAAGAAGCTGCGGCTGAATAATTTCCTACTGCGCATGTGCAGACCGCCACATAGCCCAGCTGTGCGTTGCCACCTGCAAGAGATGCTTCTTGTGAATCATACCTTTATCCAGAACAGTTCTTGACCCAACCGAGATTTGAACTGAGAACCTTATGAATATAAGCCAAAACTGTATATTCCTCAAAATACATGCATTCTACTGTTGTAAAAATTACACAGATTTGGAAAAGTTAAAAAATTATACAAGTTACCCAGATAATATCATGGAATGGGTGAAGGTGAAGTCGCTGTGCTTAACTAATTATGCACTATGCCATGAAGACATATGGGGGATTTGATGTACTGATTCACATTTTCTTGACCTTGGCACTAGTTAGAGGTGAATGGTCAACTACACACCCTTGCCACTTTACCCCCAAGGAAAGAGCAGCTGGTATCCACTGTATAGGTGGTTGGGCGGGCCCCAGAGCCAGTCTGGATGACATTGAGAAAACTCTTGACCCTACCAGGACTTGAACTGATACCTCGGACATCTAGCCTGTAGCTAGTCGCTACATAAATAACCCAGCTTGTGAAAGGTGCCTACAAGAAAACAAAATCAGCCACAGACATCCTGTGTGACTGTGAGGCCATAGCTTATTTAAGATTTTGTCACCTGGATCAATTTTTTATGGAACCAAGTGACATTTATGATGGCCCCATAAGCAGGGTACTACGCTTTATTAAAAGTGTAGGATTAATAAAGGGCTAATCCAAGGGGAAGCACAACAGATCACTGAAGGTCGCAGTGCGGGGGTCGATTTTTACGGCCCACCCCTTACCTACATTACATTATATTACATTAGTCGCTACACTGACTACACTATCCCGGACTCATCGTGGAATGGGTGACACAAAATAAGAATGACCACTGGTTAGATCTGAGCAAAACATGTGGAATAACATAAGGACTGTGTTAGAACAGTCAGAAGTTGCAGAATTTTTTAGTTCAAATTTCTGATCAATCAAAGAGGATACTTACTGGTCCACTGCAATCACTCTCATAGTTGAACTCCACATATTCACCATCCTTGGCAATCATGCCTTGTGCCATTCTCTCCGTTCCACCATTTTTATCAGTATTGAATTTTAGGTGTGCCATGGAGTCAAACAGCTTGGTGAGGTGCCTGAAATCCAAAAACATTTTTCTTACATTTTGAATGTCTAGTCCTTCTTCTTCTTCTTCTTCTGTGGCACAACAGCCCAATGTCGGGCCTTGGCCTCCCTTATCAAGCCCCTCCATTCCTCTCTGTCCTGCGCTGCTCTCTTCCAGTTCCTTACACCCATTCACTTCTTCGCATCTTCTTCCACCGCATCAATCCATCTAGTTCTTGGTTTCCCAGCAAGTCTCCTACCACCTATTATACTATATAAAATTTTCTTTGGGATACTTTGACATAGTGGAGGGGCTTGCGTGGTCAAATGACCCTGAGAGCTATGTTGGCAGTAGCATAGTTACTGGTAGGGCCACCCACGCCACACAGGTCGAAGGGGATGACCCAGACTAAAGGTTCGGCCATACAGAGCGCTATGTACGCGATGCATGCTACATACGCTATGTTCGCTATACGAACAGAAAAATATTTCCCTTTACTGCCAATGTGACTGGCCACACAGACTTCCATACTCCATGTTCCCTATGTTAGCTGTGTCGCAGAGTGTACACAGCATACATAGCATATGTGGCCGAACCTTAAAAGAGATACCCTGGTCCTCCAGGTTGGACATTGGGCGAGACGCCGATGACCTCTCACCATAAAAAAATACAAATGTCTCAAAACCTGGAATCAAGCCTTGGAATGTCTAGTTCAGGCAAGTCTTAAATCAAAGATATGATGTACAGTTTTACTGGGTCCAGTTAAGCAATTTATGCATTACTAATGATTAATTTATTTCCTCAAAAAATGATATTAAACCTTTCATTTTTGCACTACAGAATTTTCTTGAAGTGTTGTGTTCAGGATTATTTCTGTGTCTACATTTCAGTGAATTTTAAAAGCAATAAATACCCTTTCCTTTTGACAAATGTTATTAAAGTTAATGCATATTGCTTTCTATTTCCTCACTTTGTATTGTACTGACTGTCATTTTTTCTTATTTTCAATTTTATGTATTTTCAGTTATTAGAGGAAATGATGTAAATTGTAATACCATTATAAAGGCATTAAAACAGCCAGCAAAAAGTGGAAGTAAATGCAAGTCCTCATGTACGCAACACAAAATATTTCTAAGATGGAAACTGTCATTTGCATCTAATTAAATTGTGTAGAAACTATTTATAATTTTAATTTCCAAAATGACATATGTTTTTCATAAAAAACATCATTTATGTCATGACAGAACATGTTTGTATTAACTAATTCTTGCTTTCATAATGGATTAATGATATGTATTTATGAAATTAAATGTATTCAACTGATATCCCAAAAATTGATAGTGGCTATTTACTTCTATTGAAAAGCTAGACATGTCACATTCTTTGGAAACAACATCGAGCTTAAAGAAGCATGGTATTATGAAGTGTAATACTATGTACTTAAGTGACAGTCTGATGTTTCAGAGAAACATATCATCTCCATCTTCATGGTTGAGAGAAAGCCAATCAAGAAGCCAGCGGAACAAAGCAGCAAGCTGAGCCACATGCATCTGCTGGTTTCTTGTTTGGCTTACTATTTGACTTTGAAGATGAAATTAATATGTTTCTCTTGAAATTTAAGGTTCTCCCTGAACTACACAGTATTACATCCCAGAATACAACAAACTTCATAGTCACTGCTGTGAAAACTTTAAGTCCAACATCCAACTTGATTTTATATTCAAGAGCTAAATGAAATATGAAGCAGCTGTAACTGGACTTGTGGAATCCTGATTCTTAGAAGTAAATACTGGGATGAAGAAATAATACATTTGTTGCGAGATTTGAAGATCTCAGCAAAGTGGCTATGAAGATTACTGACTGTGGTATAAGAAACTGTTAAATGTAATTCATAGCATAAAACACGCATTCACCTCGCAACAGTCCTCGGCTGGTTTCCGTTGGACAGAATGTCAAGGAGGTCAGCAGATGACACAAAGTAGAAACGAGGGAATGTGAGACGTTTCGTTTCCAAATACTCAGCTAGTGCTTTCTCACACAATGTTAACTCCTTCTGAAGTACTTCAAGCTTCTGACTCAGACCATGCTTATTTGTTGCCTCTACAACATTTGGAGTTAATTTCATTTCATCCATCATCATCTGCCAAAAAAAATAATTAATTATTCACAGTAAAACACCTCACCATCATCTGTGAAATGACTGTCTGGAAAATGTGGGATCCTCGACGTCTCACAATCCTATGGGCCTCCAGGGCCTGTGACAGGGACGGTTTTTCATTTTTACTCACAGTAAAATACTGGTTGGTAAACATAATATGTAGGACAATCCTTTTATTTGAGGATCTCATAGGGATTATTAAGACAGCTCTTTTCTGGGATGTGACACCAGTTGGTGTAGTAAACATGACATCCCGGATACCTATGAAGACAGCATGTTCTCCCAAAATATCAACAAACTTGTACCAGAGGACACAATATCACTTCCAAGAACACAGTAACCTTACCTTTTTATGTTTTCTCTCAAACAGAGTTTAATACATCACCTCCTATTACAGACTATCAGATACCAAGGGTTATTGCAATTAGCTTTACCTAATGACTAAATTCACTATCACGAAAGACACATACAGCGAAATCTTTCTAAAAAGCAGAAAGGAATTGCCAGAAATTTTTTCTGTTCCTCAGAATTAAGATTAAAAACCATACAAAATTGCTTCCAATTAAGTTGACACTATTGATGTATTATTTAATAAATATGCAACAATTGAGCTTAGGAGCCAAGTTCTTCTTTATTGCAGCTGAAAACCATTGGTCCATACAGGGTTATGATGTGGGATAAAACAAAAAGTTGCTGAATAAAAAAGGAGGGGAAATTCAAGTCTTAGTTTGCTAATTAATTCACTGTATCAAACTATATTTCTCTGAGGAGACCAGATGTGTCTATATTAATATTTGCTAATGGTCTTTCACATACATCTCAAGACACAGAGCACAAGCAAAGTCAGTTTAAACAGTAACAATCCTGACTTATATTTTGGAAGTGCCTGGTTCAAATGTTTGTTGGGACACCAACCACTTTGACTGAGGTTCTTTGTGGTTTTCCACAACCCCTTTAGGCAAATGCTAAAATGGCACTGTAAAACACCCAAAGTCTCTCAAGTTCACCAACCATAACCATCCATTCACACTACTGAACCACTGCAGATGGTACAGAGAAATTTAATAAACTATGGTTCACCAATCCATCCATGTTTCATCTTGCACTGTTACATTTTAAAACTATATTCTGACCTTAAATTCTGTATCAATTTTATTGAAGCGTTGTGAATCCTTAGGCAACTGCATCTTGATATCCTCAGAACTCATAAAGATAGATTCCAGATGAGCCCATGTGCGCTGTACTTCAAACCACATAGTGATCACCTGATCAGCATGGCACAACTTTGTCTGCCATGCTGAAACCTCCTCCAGGAAGTGAGCAATGAACTTTGATGTGATAAGATTCTGCAGCTGTACCTGCAAGACCACAATCCTGTTCATGTCCTGAAATGTATTCTAGTTTTAATCCACAATAAAAGGAGATAAAACTCTCCATAGGTGGCATATATCTTTATGTAAATTCTTTATTAATACAGGAAGATGGATATACAAATATATAAGAATGTAAACATGAAAATAAAATAAATAATGCAGGAATACTAATACAGAGTGAGTTGCACAGCACAGCACAGCTCAGGTGTTAGATTGTCTGGTCACTGGATTACTGTACTGCAATGCAAATAAACATGATTTGTACAGCTTTCTTTATTATTAATTACTGAATGGACCTGACCCTGCAAAACATGTAACACACATGGCAACATTTAACTAGAAGGAAGGTGGTGATTCTTGCGTTGCACAATGATACGCTTTCAATTTTAAGTTACAGCAACTGTTGAAGATGTAAAATACTTTGATTTACAAAATCAGATTCTTATATCACATAAGTAAACAAAATTACTTATGAATACAAGATTCATCCCCCTTTTCTGGCTGTATTATCAGATTGATAGTGTGTCATCACAGAAAACAATCACCACTACATATCTGTATACCTGATTGTCTTCCAGAGTTTCAATTAGCTCTTCACTAGCACGTAGAAGGCTGCATCCAGTTCGAGCATGCATTTCCTGTTCAAACTCCATGACAGACCACGTGATTTGCAAATCTCGTAAGTACTTTTCCATTGACATCTCCTTCACAGCTAAAGAATCAAGTCAAAATGTCTAATTATTGCCTGACAGTGAACTTAAAATGGGGAGAGAAAACAGCATCCCAGAAAGTAGGAATGTTTTAATTTTTAAATGCCTAATATGTCTTTATTCAGTCGTAGTTTTCACTTTTCTCTTAAATGTTTCTCTATAGAAAATAAAACATTCTTCAAAAATTGTATTAGTAATGTTTTCACAGTTCTATACCTTTCTCCTTATTTTCAGATTTTCCAAGTTATTTTATTGGCTGTGTATAAACAATGTATCTCTGCAACTTGCATCACTGAGGAAAACTTGGTAATGGAGCAGCAGGGTATTCTTTGATAAAAATGAATATAGGGTTTAGATTTACTGCTACTCAAGTTGGAGTTTTATTATTTGCAATTTAAATGTGTTTAGCGTCATCTTTGCTGTAATTATGCCCAAATTAAATCTGTCACATATAACTTCAAGTTTTGACATTGTCATCATGGTCATAACTATTGATTTATAGACAATATTTTCCATAAAACTGTGCCTGAACGTTCATAATTTCTACAAAATTTTCCAGTCTTAGTTTGATGTGTCTGTTGCTTACCTTTGTTTAAGGTAAGCTGAAAATGAAAATTGCTGTATGGCCATCATGTTGTCATGTATAAAAAAGTTCTTTACAAAAATGACATTTTTAAAAGCTCTCTTAGCATCCATAACTTCAGAACTCTATACTTGTATTAAGCAGCACAGGTGTTATAATCACATTTCACAATTTCATGCCAAACCTGTCATGTTTTTATTACCGATTATAAAAGATAAAATGCATGAGTCTGGGTAGGCATCCAGTGACAAAGTTCGCAAGAAACTTCATAAGAACTGTTAAAAGATTCGAGAACCTGAAGCAGGATGGACACACACACAAGCATAAAACTTGGTGGTTTCATAGTCTTACTTCTACCCCTTAAATGCTGAAAACGGGATTGGTACAAAATACTGGAGAGTGGGAGTTTTTGTTCATATTCTTATGTTTGTGACAACATACCTTTGTCTACGATATTCTTCACCTCTTCCTCACATTCATGCAGGTTCAACTCAAGCAATGCTTCCAGCGTTGTGGACTCATCCATAACAAATTTCACCTAAAATTGAAAAATTAAGCTACAATAACTTGTAAGGCAGGTAAAGCATGATGCTTATATTAAGGCTTGAGAAGGTAAAGGTGCTTCATTACTTCAACACACCTTACAGACACATGAGTGAATGGAAGTACACCTCTACCATTCTTGACCTTGACCCAAGATGGTGGCAAGTGTTCTGCTTCAAGTCTATGTTGCTTTATTCCCGAGGAAACAGCCCTCCAGTACACACACCACAGCAGCCCACAGGCTAAATCCTACTGGGACTAAGCTAGGCAAACTCATAGAACCAAATTTCTATGGTCATGAGACATTCAGTCAAGAAACTGTGGTTTGCTGCTGATAAGGGTTAATGCACAGATATGAACTCTTGTGCCCACCCACTCATGAAGTCATACAACTTCAGAACTTCTGATGTAGAATATAGAAACTAAAGAATTCTATAAATTTTAATCCTGTATTTAAGCATCCTGTTGCACTACTATATTCAGAACTGTTTATAAACTACACAGTCCATCAACAATGCAACAAATTCTTCTTTCTTTCATTTTCACTTTTGACACAACAGGTTTTGGCCCTAAATGGCCCTCTTCAGGTGCCTTGCTAAGCCATTTGCTGTCACCTATACATGATTTTAGTCAGAACCATGAACAATCCCATCATGCAAAACAAACAGTTATTAGTATGATAATTAAACTAATACATAAGTATCTTTCCAAATATTTTTAATTTTAATTAAATGAATTCTCTTGGATTTTACCGTATAGAATGTCTAAACTTATAGGAAAGTGAACATGTACAATGTAACAACTGTGTTTGTCATGACAAAGTCAAATAAGACACAATTCTTTCCCATAAACACATGCATTCTTGTACGTGGTATGTGAATGTACACAAGTAGATGAGTGCTGACAAACCAATTAATTCATTTCATAAAACATATAACAGTATGTCTCTGCAGAAAGAGACTGACCACCTGTGTAATCCATGAACCATACTGCTTCTGCCATTTTCTGCAGGATTCTCATAGCTGACTGCAGACAAGCCACAAAATAAGTTACCAGCACTACTGGCAGAATTTTCATATGAAACCTAATGATGTTTATAACATTAAGTAAGAAACAAAATGATATATTAGATACAATCTTAATATTTTATGTTTAAAAAGAAATTCAGAGAGCAGACTTGGCTTAAAAGTTTAACACTGGGAAATTTGTGACTTTCATACAAGATTAAAGTTAATTTCCTATCTATGGATTTTTTCTGGGGCAGTGAATCAAGAAATAGACCCAAAGAAAACTTGTAGCAGATAATGATCATGTTACATTTTTATAAAACAAGCAGAAGTGATACAGCATAAAACGTTAAATCCACCTCCAAAATCTGTAACATTAAATGCCTGGAAACCAGTTTTTTATATAAATCATCTGGATGCTAAGAAATCCCACTAAAAGAATAATATTATAAGGCTTCACTTTGTTATATTTAAATTTATTTCAAGTGATGTTAGCACTCATCTATCTGAAGATGAACTTGCAGTGAGCCCTAATGACTCCTAGTACTTACAGTGAGCTCTGGTGGCAGTGCAGCTAAACTCTGCAGCACCATGCAACATATTGAATGGTTAAGCCAGGGTTAGTTAAGACAGACAACTCTCACCATGGTGATGATGCATTTCAATTTATGTTTTGGAGGCTCGGAGTACAGACTTACTTATGAATCTAAACATAATTTGTTTCATGACAAAGAAACAGTATCATATACAGGAGTAAATTTTCTTGAAGAATGCTCATTGACACATTAAATGTTTCATACATTTTGAAGGCCAGCACTTTGACTATTAAAAAATCAACTTCACAATATGCAAAATTTAATCTGCTTGGTTTTGATGTTCAGGAGCATCAGCTAATATAGAGTCCTTTCTTTTCAATTTAACACTCACTCTTGTTCTTCTCTGATTTACAATTCTAGAACAAACATTTTCTTAAAAATCTTTAATTTTTCAGTAATTTTACTCATCGTCTTGCATATATTTTACTTTCCTGCAACAGACACCTACACAGTGACTTAAAAGTCATATATCCTAGCATGGAGTACTGCTCTTCAGAGATAGTAACAAGAACATGAAGAAAGGTAGAGCTGACCCCATGCATAATCAATTAAGCGCTACGCCATGAAGGTCTATGGAGGATTGGAAGCATAGCTCCATATTCTTGGCCTTGGAACTTGATGGAAGTGAGTGGTCAGCTTCAAACCCCAACTGATTTACCCCCAGAGAAAGAGCCTGCCCAGTACCCTATGGATAGGGAGGCTGGGTGAGTCCCAGAGCCAGTCTGGACACTGTGGAACAGAGAAAACTTTCTTCCTCCTGTCAGGAATCAAAATCTGGCTGTCCATCACAATACTGATTGAGCTATAATTAAATACAAATAATTTTTTTTGGGGGGGGGGATCTAGGGCCTCATGGCAGTGACAATACAGGGTGTTTTGGGTTGGAACACAATGAAGTAAAGAGACAGTCTGATGTTTTCGAAGAATGTACCACCTCCATCGTCACAGTCAAAGAGTCAGCCACGAGTAGTCTACTGCCTGTTCATGCTGATTTCTTGCTTGTCTTACTCTTCTACCCTGAAGAGAGAGGTAATATGTTATTCTGAAACATCAGGCCCTCTGTAAAATTCATGGTGTTACAACACAGACAACCTTACTCTTTAAAAGCTTTTTAATGAATGTGTACTTAATTAAACCATAAATCTGTTAAAGGCTGTGATAATTAAATAAAATTACTTAGAATTAGAGAAACAATTCTAATTCTCCTATTTAAATTTCACCAGAAGCTAAAACTCTACCATATCCAAGAATCACACACATTTCTAAATGGTATAAATTGCATCATCTACAGTTGTGTTAAATGTCTGATGAGAGAACATCACCTGTATGTAATGGTCTTAGAATTCTCACCTAAACTGCATGTCATTCTTAACAGTCAAAACAGCTGTAACATGCATCACCAACCAAAGTGAGCACAAGTTGCATATGCATATCTTTGCTGAAATATTTATGTTGAAAGTATCCAGAAGAAGCTCATAATTAGTACTGTTGTTGTAGCCACACAGAACCCATAAACTTTGGAGACATAATATGGAAAATACCTAATTTTGTTTAATGTAGATAAAGTAGCATAACTGATACTGACATGTGCACACAAAAATGATAGTCATACTGTACTGAAAGATTTTAGATCACTTTAATGGAACTCATGATAATGTTGACACGTATAAGAGATTACTTCTTAACTCAAATGAATACACACCAACTGTTAGTCACAGTATTTTCTCTGCATTTTGAGTCCTATGAAATACTCAATATGTAGTGAAATTAAAGTAGGCAACTAGTTCTTCACAAAAGTTCTTGTTATACCTTACTTACGCAATTTTTATGCCATATTCATTTATTATTTATCCACACTTCTATCAATATTAATGATTCAGCATGTTCTTATATTGTCTGTTTATTAAAATAGTGTGTTCAAATATTATTAAATATGTTTTTAAGATGAGAAGTGAGCTTCTAAATATCTTAGAATGAATTACGCTCTAATATGAATTTTCTACCTTAACTGCATGCGTCTCGTTATATCACAACATTTAATATGTATGTGAGTAGTATGTATTTTCAAACACTTTACAACTTACACACTTTTGATATTGGTAACTGTTTATTATTTGAACACTCTGTTCATGGGAACATCGCGAATATCAGTTATTTTCTTCCCAACATTGCTCACATCTGAAGGAATACATACGTTTTACAGACATGAATTCCCTATGTCTAATTAATGAGAATTTTAATCAAAACCGGTTTAATGTAGCCAATTATTAACCAAGGGACCACTACATTCTCTTTCTCAGCAAGTAAAACCAGTTCACATTCTACAGATACGAGGATTATTCGGAAAGTAATTTCTGGTGAGCTGCTAACAAAACACGCAATAAGAACATTTTTCTTGTTGTAGATAAAGAAATACATAGATACTTCAGCTACCTCTCAATGTTGTCACTGCCAGAACTGCAGCACTTGTTGAATATGGGAACAAGTTTTTGTGTGCCTGTGTGGAAGAAATTTTCTGCCTGTATTATCAGCCACATTTTTACACCTTCCATCAGCTCATCATTGTTGAAGCGCCGTGATCCTAACCAGTTCCTCAGGCAGGTAAACAGGTGGTAGTCGCTTGAAGGGAGATCAGGGCTGTAAGGAAGGTGGTCAAACAACTCCCAGCTGAAATGCTCCAGCAGTGCTCGATTGCGAGCATCTGAATGTGGACACACATTGTCGTGGAGCAGTACTACACTGGATGTCATCATTTCATGCCTTTTGTTCTGAATGGCCAGTCATAAGCAATTTCTTTTTGTGGGTGTGTTTCGGAGTACACTTCTGACGTTACTGTTGTCCCTTGTTGCATGAAGTGCACCATTGGCATGTCCCAGAAAACAACTGTGATCAGCTTTCTAGAGAGCAGATGTTTGTTTAAACTTTTTTGGCTTGTTTGGTGAATGTGTGCATCTACTGCTTTGACTGTTCTTTGGTTTCAACTTTCACAAATGAAACCAAGTTTTCATTACCTGCTAGACGTACGAACTGACTGAAATTCCTCACCATCTCAGTGGTACCGCTCAAAAAGAGTCAAAGCAGAAGCAATTCTCTGCGTTTTGTGCGCATCTGTTAGTGTTTTCGGAAAACATCTTGCGCAAAACTTGTGACAGCCTAGCCTAACTATGATAATCTCATACAGAACAATGCGTAAAATTTGTGGAAATACACATGAAAATTCTGAAATTGTGAAGTGCCATTTTTCGCAAATTTTTTGATTGCCTAAAGTAAACGGAGATTACTTTCTGAATAGCCTTTGTATATGATATGAAAACAATATGTGATCTAAAAATATCTGTTGATCAACAGGTTTAAGATATGAACATTTTATTGCACATGAGTGAAATTAATATATGATGGGACTCTCAATTTAAATCAGAAACTTCATTCATGAGATGCCCTGTGTACTTGTAATATATATTAATTTACTGCTTTAAAAAGTATTGTGTATTAAAAAAAGGGAAAGATAGCGAGAGAAAGGACAGAAAGTAAGACGAGGACAGAGAGAGAGAAGGAAAGAAGAAATGAGTGAAAGTAAGAAAGAAAGAAGGAAAGAAAGAGAGAAGTGGAAATATATTAGGTCAGTGTTTCCCAATTTAATTTGGCCATGGAACCCTTCTGAATTCGAAAATTTTTAAAGGACACCTAATGAAGTTCTTATACAAGTCAGGACAGGAGTAACTAAATAAATGGCAAAGACATGAGCTCAACACCAGAGTTCCGTGGAACACCATCTGGGAAACACTGCATCAGGCACACAGGAAATGTGAAACTTAACACTTTAGCAAAGAAGACTGAAAGCAAGCTAATGTTCAAAGTGCTGGAAAGTATTGTCTGTAGTTCTAATTAAATATTCTCCAAAGTGCATAAATTTTAGTACAGGATTTCCAAAAATATTTTTTACTGCCCATTTAAAAGCAACAAAAAATCAGCAAACCCTACTTTCTTATTAACTTTTTAGTGCTAAAGTGACAGAATTTGTATAAACAATATGAAAATGTATGATCTGAATTCCTGTTTCACAGTGCTTCAAACTCAAAGTGGGTTTGTCCAAAAATCCATTAAGAATAAGAAAACAACATGGGTTAACTAAGAAGTACTGACAGAAAACATCAGCTACTGCACAGAAATTACAGAACTCATTCACAATAAGATATTTTAGGAAATAAGAATTTTCTATCCAGATCTTCCACAAAATTTGTTCAATGAAGTTTTATTATCTGTTCAGATTTGCTATGCACTAAACAACTTTGTAATGGTATATAAATGGTATAGTTACTTTTAAACATGGAATTCATTCAAAGAGAATTGAAATGTTGCTAACTGATGTGTGCCCTGTATGTAAACAAAATCAGAAAAGTGCCGTGATTATAACGTATGTTCACTCTCCACTTTTCACTTTGAACATATCTTCCAGTAAACCTGGTCTTGACGTCCAGCGAAAGCTACCATGCCGACAGTATAGGGAGATGTACAGATGGAAGACCACAGACAGAAGTTTAAAAGCATGTGAAAGACAGAACAGAACTAAATGAAGAGAAAGAAACCCACAATCAAGGAAAACATGGCACACAGAATGGAATAAAATTAATTAAAAAATATATGACACGAACAAAGATAAAAATATTATGCTGGATCATGACCTTTGATGACTTCATCAGCTGCTGCCAATGTCGCTCTCTAATGGCAGAATTTTGTAGTTCACCAACAGCTCGCAGGGAAGTGAGCATGTTTTTCACTGTGGCTTCCAGAGTGATATATGTGTCCCATAATCGCATTTCCTTATCCATAGCTGCAAGAAGAGATTCACCTTTGCCTCAAGAGGCATACCTGGATAGCTAATGCATTTGGCAACTCTTGATTTATAAAGAAATCTAAATATTTCTTAAATGAATTTCATTACATATCTGTGCTGAAAAGAGGTTACAATTTTACTTTGTTTCCATCCCCAAAAGGTTAATTATATAAAAATGCACAAGATGTAACATACAAATCCTTTATGCTGTCATGAAGATAGTAGTTTAATCATTTATGTTCGATTACTGCAATTCATTCACTTGCAAACTGTTTCTTCTTTGCCCACCTGCAGCATCATGACTCTTCCTAAGCTACTTTCTCTCTGGACTCCTCTCTGGTTCATCCTATTTGCCTTTATACCTGGGAATCACTTCCCAAGGCTATTTTAATATTAATAGCTTTTATATGAACAGGGAGTCAGTGCAACACAGAACTCTCAATCAGGAATAAGGGCTGGAATGATAGGGTTACCACCTCACAGAGCTCTAGAAATGTGCTTTCCTGTGCATCACAGACAAGTTAATAGAAACTGGCAGTAATCATATTTAAACTTCAGTCTGCATGTGTTACAATTTTAGAAAGAAATTATTTAGTACGAAGTGCAGAAAGAACACAACATAATGTATCATATTTCTTCCCTGATCTTAATATTTAACATTCAATGCCAAGATTTTATGTGTTGCCCATAAAAATATTTGTTACACACTTCATTAAATGTCCAGCAGATATAAGTTCTGTTTTTGGAGCATTGGATACATAAAAACATTCAAGCCCTGAACGGGTTATTAATCCATGAACATGTGAGCCTGAAGACCAAATCATCACATTCCTTACTGTTCATCTTCCAAATTCTGCATTAAAAGCAAAAATATTTCAACTGCAGGAGAACTGTAATTACAGCATGATGATATGGTCTCAACTGCCAAGATTTTTAAGACTTAATTAAGTTAGTGATGTTGGTGTATAGTTTTGGTTTTATCAGTCATCTCCAGTATTGCAACTCCCTTCAATCTGGATGTTCTTCTGTGATTTGATCCCCCATGCATATAGAGTACTAGTGAATCATGGTAAGAGTTCCTAAGATTGAGCATAAACTTAGAAAACCTGAAGGAAAATTATATTACAGAGAAAATAAAAAAGTGGGTCATGCCAGTAGTATTCAGTTACTTGAGAAAATATGGTCGAATATCAGGATTGCCTAAATTAAATATGAATTACCTCTTATTTCCTTTGCAAATTTCTTGCATTCAATGTCCATGTTTTCTACGTCAACTTTTCTCCAGGGTGTTGTCTTCCAGTCTTCTACGTTTGTTTGCACGATGTGCACATAATCCCACAGTTGCTGCACATAATTATAAGTCCATTTTATTAATTAATCAGGACATAAAAATTTAATTTATAATAGTTATTCATGATTACTCTACAGGATACTTTGCATTAGTAGTACTATAACTCCATATGTTCTGTGTGCACAGACATACGCAACTACAGAAATGTCATTAACAAACTATCTCATTAAAATTTAGTTTAATGTTGCAACACATGCCAACTGCTTTACCTTCAGCATCCGAAGCTCTTTCCGACATTGTTTGATATGTTTAAAATCTGGCACATTGACTTCAAAGAGGGAAGCTGAATCCTGAATACTTCCCATTTCATCTTCAAGCTCAGAAATTTCCAAATGCGTGTCATCCAGCAGATCATAAGGGCATTCACAGTCGAACCTAGAGCATATTATGATAAACAGTCAGTCTGTACTGATTCAGCAATACACATAAACTTATAAGAAGTTGATAAGTTATTATAGTACTCAACTACATCTGATCTCAAATTCAGAACAGAAGAAAATAATACTGAGAAATGAACAAGAAAAAATACGACGGGAAGTCATAATATTTCAATTATCACCATGAAAAAATCACAATTCCAAAATATTGTTCTATATAGGAGATAGCCCATTTCCTGAACTTGCTGAACAGTCAAATTTTCCTACGCAAGGTGGACAGAGGGAGCCACTGGAAGGGGCAGAAGCAAAATGGTGATGTCGGTTGAGAAAGTGGAGGCTTGTGCTGTGATAAAGTTCCTGGATTTGCAAGGGAAGTCTGCCAGGTAGACCCACAACCAGATGACCGCTGTGTATCAGGAAGGTGTACCACCATATGACACAGTGGTCAGGTGGAAGAGGAGCATCCATTGTGGACAGACAAACCTCGAAGATGAACCCTGAAGTGGAAGACCATCTCTCACTGAGGAACCAGGAATTGTGGCACAGGTGGAAGCCTTGATCCTATCCGATAGGCACGTAATTACTACTAATGTACAAATTGAGAGCACGGCATGAGATAAGATCTGACAGCAAAGGTCTCCATGATGTTATTGTGGCTACATGTTTCGCTTACTTACGACCACCATCAGGGGTTATAAACAATAAAATGCATCCATGTTCATTGCTAGACTGCGTGTCGCAATGGTTCCATTACTAATAGTATTGTCTTGTAAAAGTTTTTACACTGGTTCTTTGTTGAGGTGTAAGAACACAACCAGCGAGCCTACCACATATGTCAAAAAACATTAACCATCAGAACCGTGATAGCACAAGGTCTTCCGTATCAACAATGTATACTCGCATAACAACATTTATACCAAAGGATAAAAAATTTGAAACAACCCATTTCACCAAAAAAAAACACATTTGCTTCCATTAGCACCAACCAAACACACTTGTGTAACACACATGTCCCTATAAAGAACAGACGTTCAAAAACACGTGTGTGTGTGTTTGTGTGTATCTGCGCACCATTTCCCTTACTCCATTCCACCCATAAATCCTCTATACATACAGGGTGTTTCACGACTTTAGGTCATAACTGCAGGAGGTGATTTCCTAGGTCTTTGTGATCAAAAAATTTCATATAAACATATGCCCGATTTTGGACGGTTACGGAGTTATGACCGTTTTTTCATTCCCGCACACGCCCTCGTCTGAACCGCGCCTATCAGCTGGCCGGTCGCTTATCTCAACGTGTGGGTGGGGTGGGGTTGGATGAAGGAACTGGTTTACAATGTGAAGGTCGCAACGCGAGACGCGTTGCTCGCTCGCATTCTGGAAGCCGCTGACCAGATAAGGAACAACCAGCTCAAGTTGCTACGTGCCAGCCGCGCAGTTCACAGCCGAGCGGCGGCTTGTCTTGCAGTCGACGGTGGAATTTTCGAAAATAAGCTATAACCACCAATAAAATCAAATTGAAGGTAATTTCACGAAGTTAACTTTACGTTCATACTTTAAGTGTATCATGTATTATGCTGGTTTATTATTTTGTTCCGTTTATTGTCAGTAATCGTTACCTTCTATTCTGATTTTAAAACGGTCATAACTCCGTAACCGTCCAAAATCGGGCATATGTTTATATGAACTTTTTTGATCACAAAGACCTAGGAAATCACCTCCTGCAGTTATGACCTAAAGTCGTGAAACACCCTGTATATGTAATAGGATAATTTAAAAAATAAATTTATGAATTATGAAGATTTAAGCTGGTTAATAATAGATCATAATTTTCTTTTGCATTGAAATCAAAATTTGTGAAACAAAATGGGTAGTACGTTCAGTATTACCTGAGCACAGGTAATCTGCGAAAGTTCTCACGATACTGATTCTGTCGTGCATCAAAATTTGCAATCCTCTTACGTATACAAGTAACTTCTGTAGCCTGCAAAGGTGCCACTTGCTGTTTTACAGTTACTGCTATCTTCTTGGTATTGTTCCACTGCTCTGGCAGCTCCTATTGAAAAGAAAGTCAGAGAATTGATGACATATCATAAAGAATCAGACTCAAGGATCTTAAGAAATCCATTTATTCGTTCAATTTCATATTAAGAGAAATATAAGTTCAGTACAGGAAGTATTATTTTTTTATTGCTAGTGGGGTGGGACTAAGTCCCTTGTACTGCGGCCACCTCTGGCCTATTGTACCAGCCCCAGATGATAGGTGAGTGTGATTTTGGAGCAATTGGAGGAATGAAGATTGGCAGGGGAAACCGAAGTACTCAGAGAAAAGGTGCCCCAGCGCCACTTTGTCCACCACAAATCCCACTTGACCAGACCCGGGATCGAACCCGGACTGCCGTGGAGGGAAGCCAGCGACTAACTGCTGGAGTTATGGTGCAGCCAAAAGTACAGGAAGTAAATGATGTGTATAATTCTGTCAAAGAAAATGTACATTGTATGACAATGAGCAACATTTTGTCTGATCATACTTGTGCTTGAAACAGCACACAATAAGTAAACATATATTAATTTATAACACACATTTACAAAGGATATTTAAGATATGAAAAATAAAGTAGATTTAAAAAATAATGAAAAATTACATGAATAGTGAAAGCTGTGATAGTTTTGTTTGCAAAATTTTTTTCTACAACCAATCTCAGCAATGTCAAGCAAAAAATCAATATTTTGAGTCAGGTTCTGTCGTAATCATTAGGACTGATGTAATATCAACTGACCTTGATGATGGAGACAAAGCCTGTCTGTGAAACATTGTCTTCTGCTCAACACTGATGTAACTGATGGCCCAAGACAATTTTAAACAATTTTAATGCATTTAGTAAGTGCAAAAGCCAAAAATTCTTATAAGATCAGAGAAACACATGATTGTAATAGTATGTTACCATCAAGTACAAAATCTTAATGTATATTTACACAATTCAGTACCTTATAAATGTAAGCAGATAGCAGTTAAGCGTGTTGCGGATCAGTTTCAGGTGCAGGGGAGGGTGTAGGCAGACTGTACAGCAGGAAGATGTGCAGGTGCTGCTTCACTGCCCCCAGTTACCTGCAGCAGCACATTCACTTCTTCAGGCAGCTCTTGGTCATAGAACTTGAGTAGCTCAATAGTTTGCTCCAGTGGTTCGAACATGTCGTCGGTCATAAGCTGTCGCTCCTTGACATTCATCAGGTAGCCCATCACATTCACCAGACGTTCATAGTCTCCTTCTTTCACAGGCTGTTGTAACCCCTCATCAGCCTCACGAATGAAGCTGGCAAGATCTGATAAGCTGAGCAGAGCAGAGCAGAGCAGAGCAGAGCACATGTGTTTATTAAATCACATTGAAGAACATGTAGAGGAGAAAACCTCTATTATTTCTTTAAAAATATAATAAAGTGTAATTTTAAAGAGATTAACTATAACAAATCATTTCCTATATTAATTAATTGTTTCAGTTGTGTTTCATATGACATTAGAAGAGCTGGAAGATGAATGAGAAATAAGTAAGGAAGTGTTTGTGGTCCATTTTAAGGCACTCTTCCACTTTCATCAGAAGTGATAAAGAAAACAGTGAAGACAACACCACATGCTGTGGAGGAAACATGCAAACCAGGGGCATATGGCAGTCATAACCGAAAAGTAGGCTACGAACGCGAGGGGCAAGCTGCTGAGACAAAACACCCTGGACAGACACACATTTATGAACAATGGACGACGCCCTGTTTGAGGTGAAATAATATGCACCAAAATAACGTGGGTATAATAGAAACTTTAAAGGATTTTATCTGGTTTTATCCTGAAAAGAGGACTACAGCATGTGATTTTAACACAAAGTAAGACACTGTAGCAGTTTTAACAAAATTTAAGAAAATATTTGCAACATATTAAGACACCTGAAGATGGCCATTTGTGGCCGAAACATGTAGCGTCAAGGTTAAACTAAAATTGAGTGTTGCAATATTGACAGGCGATAAATTGAGAACAGTGTTGCACAGGTGACTGCTATAAGGCACAACATAGTAGCAAAGGAGAGGCTTTAAGGGATTATTTTTCATGCTCCTCTTAAGTTATAGCAATGCTATTATCTGTCTGACATTAGAAATGTCTACTGCTATTGTGATAACAGCACTCCAACCTATGGTAACATAATGCAGGCCATCCATGCAAATTACAGACTACACATGACAGGCAACAGAACTGTTTTGCTGTAAGATGATGAAACAAGTAAAAATATTGAGAGGTGATATTGTTCTAGAACCCACCTGCTAGTTACGTGATCCACCAAATGCTGTTTGAACATGTTGCCCCATTTGCTAACAGTGTTGAGGAGAGCTTGCCTAAAGGGCCTCAAGTCTACTTGAAACCATGCACTGAAGATATGCACTGACTCCATCTCCTCAATCTCCATAAACAGACTCTCATAGTTGTCAATCTAAATATAAGAGGTTATGAATAAAATACTCAGGGTCTACAGGAAAACTGAACTTGGAATATCAAACAGCCAAAGTGCACATAACATTAATTTTATTGGAGGAAGAAAGAGGACATTATTTTGAATAACGTGATGTGATATGTCAATGAGCAAATAAGATAAATTTTAATTTTTGTAACAGACAACCTTCTTCACAGAAACAATAATTCTGTATAACGGATAACTTACACAGCTAAAGAAACATCTATAATGCAAATATATTCATACTTCGTCATTAAGTAAAAAAAAGTAAAGGTATTCCTGTAACAGGCTGTGAAGGCCCATAGGGTTGTGAGATGTTGAGGTTCCCCCATTTGCTAGACAATCAGCTCATAGATGGCGGCAAGGTTATGAGCCCGATGTGCCGGCCGCCCTTTATACCCATGAATATTCCAATAACGTTCCTGGCACTCATTTTTCTTAGAGGCTGAGTTGACCCCAGGTCCATAGTGGGGCTGGAGGAATTAGGTAAATTGAAAAAATCCACCTCATTGGGATTCGATCCCGTGACCTGGCTTGTAGCATAGTGCCTCAACCAACTATGCTACTGTGTGACCCCCTCCCATACTCTGTCATTACAAAGTAAAATATAAGAATTTATTCAGTGTCTTTTGGAATTTACTTCCACACTGATCCGTAACAGAGGGCACTTCATTGCAGACAGAATACAGAACCACCTTTATCGGCTATAAATTGGATGACTGGTATTGAATTCAGGACAGACACCCCTGGAAATTTTATGTACACTAAAAAGCTTAAATCAGTACCTTATTCCGCTGATTCTTGACTTCTATCACCTTGCATCCAACTGGTCATTTTATCTGAAAGTTTTGGCTTAGCATGGTAAAAACAAAGCACTGCTTTTTCCAAGAATTTCATCTATACAATTATATTCATTTTAATATTATATTAATCGTTAATGGAAGTTATTTTAAGAACCTCACAACTTGCCTAGCTGTCTGTCAGTTCCAACAGTTTGGAATCACTGCCCTGTGTAACGTTCCCCACTTTCTTTCTGTGACATGAACATTGAGGGGCCAGAGAAGGCGACAGATTAACTTAACTCCATGTTGCATAGTCCTTCTTGAGAAGCTAACGTCTGAACAAGATATTTAGGGACTTCTAGTCTTTTATGGAATCCAAAGATTAAGTATAATGTTCCTAAGATTCCACCACTGGACCCAATTCTATTACCAGTTGAATCCAGTCCACACTCTCTCATCCTATGTCTTTGAGATCTGTTCTAATATCATCCTTCCATCTATGTGCTGGTCTCCCAAGTGTCCTCTTCCCTTTAGGTTTTCCAGTTAATGTTTTTCATAGATTTGTTTTATGGACCAAAAGCAATAAACAAGAATGACTGAAGTAAAAACTCCATGCCCTTTATGCCCTTATGGAAACGGTCTCAGGTTATGCTCATCATTTACATCTTTACAGGACCCATGAGCACCAGGTGCACTGTACTGTCTCAGTGTCCTTGTTTACGAGTTTTATTCTGAAATCATAAAAAAGTTATAAAGTTGAAAATATGGCTTCCTTCTGTAATACTGAATTTTTCAGAAGGTATTCAGTTTTGCGTCATATTGTTGGAGGTACCAGAAAAATACTTATTCAATACGATTTATAATTGTCTCCACATACAGCCTATTCTATTAAGTATTTTGGTAAAGTATGTAATATAACACGAGTTTTAAATAAAATGTGAAATTAGACACTTTTATCTTAATTATATATCAGTAATGAAATGAATTTATATATTTATAAACACATCATTAGCAAAATGGAAGTCAAGATTAAAACTTGCTATTGCCCTAGTATAAAGCATGGATTTAAATTTTAGAAACACATACCTGTTCTCTGAAAAGTTCCATGTTTGGCGGATTAGGTTTTGGTGCCATGCCATCATCTAAGGCAATGAGTTCAAGCTCATCAGCAGTCAATTGACGTCCATATGTCAAGAACTGCTGCATATAGCATTCACGGTCATCCAACCACAAGTAAGAGTAGGTCTCAAAACTATGACTAAATTCATTAGCCTGCAATGGTACCACACACCAAAGTTTGAAGAACAATTAAGAAATGTGTAAGATTTCAGTTTATGATAGCACTGAGTATCTTGTAGGCTGTATCATCATGTAATGAGTAAATGATTACCAACCACTGGTTTTTTCTTTAACTTAGACCTTAACTCCGTCATCCATTTTATGCATCCATACCAGTTTTCCCCATATGACTTACTCTTATTATTATGAATACTGGGGCAGCAAATTCCTCTAAAATATTTACCATCCACCAGACTACATGGCATTATAACCCAGGAGATGATAATCTTCATTCAATAACTGAAACTCTCAACTTATATCTTGCTATTTCATGTGAAATTAAGATGACTGATTATCATACTTCAGTAGACTGCGCCATACAAGTAGCTCAAGAGGTTAGTCGCTGGTTTCCCACCGCGGTGGCCCGGGTTCGATCCCAGGTCTGGTTAAGTGGGATTTATGGTGGACAAAGTGGAACTGGGGTAGGTTTTCTCAGAGTACTTTGGTTTCCACTGCCAATCTTCACTCCACCAATTGCTCCGCAATCACCCTCACCTATCATCCAGGGCCGGTACAATAGGCCAGAAGTGGCCGCAGTACAAGGGACTTAGTCCCACCCCACTAGCAATAAAAAAATAATATTTTCGAAAGACTAAAAATGTCACATACCTCTTGCATTACAGACTGTACACTGTCTAATATTTCTCGTTTCATCTCTCTGATATCCTCATTGTTTTCCATATCAACCTGTAATCAGGAAGTACTGTATTCAAAGAATATTTGGTTATGAACAAATGTAACTCATCCAACACTAAATAGAAGTCTCAATGAGTGACTGGGGGATTTCTCATTGATTCAATTATATTGGTTACAGCTGTCAGCATACCATATCAAACAGCTGAGGTCCAAACTTAAAATTCTAAGCTATCCCACTATGACTTTATCAACTAGAATTAGATAAAGCTACTTTTTCCACAACCTTATACATATTTGTTACATTACCAAATCTTGATCAACAGAGCTGCATTCATGAAAAGGGAATGAACTAAACTTGGAGGGATCATACCATACAACCCACTCCTTATGCCCCACCATCTCAATATTTTTTTTTTTTTCTTTACTATTGTAAGCCAGAAATTTGAGTAGAATTCATATTTACACTGAACCTGAATGAATATTCATGCAATATTCCATTATTCATTACAACATGGCTAGACACAGCTGAAAGCCATCTATAATGTCATACCTCATAACTGGCTGTTTCATGGCTAAGAGCAATGCAAGGAATCAAGCTTGCCATCTTGACAATGTCATTAATGAGACCCTCTACTACACTAGCAAAACACCCTGGTGCAGCAGGATCTAGTGATGGTATAAACACAAGTTCTGGTTCACAAAGTGCTAACTGTGCTTCAAACAGCGGTGCGAGCCCATTATTCTGGTCCATGTTCTCTGCAAGATATCCCAAACTGAAAATAAATACATAACATTATCTATACACACAGGTCTACAAACTGTGGCATATTTGCTCAAAGCAAGAATTGTGAGTTGCAAAAGACTGCTGTTGCTAGGCAGCAGCCTCTAAACAACAGAGGAATGATGTCTTCTGCACAGTTAAATAAGAAGTATTTGTCATACTGAATATTTTATAAATATAAGAGACTGGTTTGCAACTATGTAAAAATAATTTGATAGTTATATATATTAATCCTGGAATTATGGACATGAGATTCAGTACTTGGAATGTTAGAAGCATGTATAGGCCAGGTTCGCTCAGGGCAGTGGCGGAAGGAATATCAAAATATGTTAGATTTAATGGGAGTACAGGAGGTCAGATGGGACAGTAATAAAAAGAACATTACAGACCTGCATAGAGCAATAAATGACTTTAAGAGGGGTTACCAAACTAAAACAATTTAGTGAAGGATGAGAATGGTGATCTGCTTGCAGATTACCACTACATTTTGAATATGTGGAAGAACTACTTCTCTCAGTTATTGAATGTACATATGGTCAGGGATGTTAGGCAGATAGAAATACACACAGCTGAGCCGTTTGTATCTGATCCTAGCCCTTTTGAGGTTGAAAGTGCTATTGTAAAATTGAAACGGTATAAATCGCCAGGTAGTGATCAAATTCCGGCAGAACTTACTCAAGCAGAAGGTGAAATATTATGTTCTAAGATCCACAATTTAATTACTTCAATTTGGCATAAGGAAAAATTGCCTGATCAGTGGAAAGAGTCTATTATTGTACCAGTTCACAAGGGTGATAAAACTGACTGTAGTAATTATTGGGGGATATCGCTGCTATTGACTTCATACAAATTTTTATCGAATATTCTTCTCTCAAGTTTAAGTCCATACACAGATGAAATTATTGGGGATCATCAGTATGGGTTCCAATATAAAAGAGCAACTATAGATCAGATCTTTTGCATTCGTCAGATACTCGTGAAAAAATGGGAGTACAATGAGACAGTACATCAGCTATTTGTAGACTTCAAGAAAACCTATGATTCGGTTAGGAGGGAAGTATTGTACAATATTCTGATAGAGTCTGGGATACCCATGAAATTGGTTAAGCTAATTAAAATGTGTTTAAACAAAACTTATAGTAAAGTCCATACAGGTAAACATTTATCTGATAAATTTCCAACCCAGAATGGTCTAAGACAAGGAGATCCTTTATTGCCAATGTTTTTCAACTTCACTTTAGAATATGCCATTAGGAAGGTCCAGGAAAACCAGGTGGGAAAGAAATTAAATGAGACACATCAGCTGCTGGTCTATGCCGATGATGTGAATCTACTGGGTGATAATATAGATACCATAAAGAAAAACACATAAACTTTAACTGACGCAAGTAAGGAGGTTTGTCTAGAAGAAAACACACACAAAACTAAGTATATGTTGCTGTCTCATGACCAAAATGCAGGCAAAATCATGACACAACGATAGAGAACAGATGTTTTGAAAATGTGGCACAGTTCAGATATTTGGGAACGACGATAAATCAAAACCTGATTCAGGAGGAAATGAGGAGATTGAACTCGGGTAACGCTTGCTATCATCGGTCCTGAACCTTTTGTTTTCTCGTCTGCTGTCCAAAAACATAAAAATTAGAATATACAAAACTATAATTTTGCCTGTGGTTCTGTATGGGTGTGAAACTTGGTCTCTGACATTAAGGAAGGAACATAAACTGAGGCTGTCTGAGAACAGGGTGTTGAGGAGAATATTTGGACCAAAAAGAGATGAAGTGACAGGAAGTTGGAGGAAACTGCATAATGAGGACCTTCACAACTTGTACTCTTCTCCAAGTATAATTAGAATGATCAAATCAGGGCATGTAGCATGAATGGGGAGAAGAGGAATGCATATAGAATAATGGTTGGAAAGCTAGAAGGAAAGAGACCACTGGAAAGACCAAGGCGTAGGTGGGTGGACAATATTAAACTGGATCTTAAGAGATGTAGGATGGGATGGTATGGATTGAATAGATCTGGCTCAGGATAGGGACCAGTGGAGGGCTCTCGTGAACACGGTAATGAACCTTCGGGTTCCATAAAATGCTGGGAAATTCTTGAGTAGCTGCAGAATTTGTGGCTCCTCAAGAAGGGCTCAGCTCCATGACCTGGAACTGTAACAGACACAATGACCTAACCCATGACGTTACTGGTTTCATGCATGTATGTTTACTTATGCATATAAAACAGACACCTAACAAATTTTAAGATTCCTTAAAGTAAATGAAATATCAAGGCAATAAATATCTGTTAGAAAATAGAAATACTCTGGTTTACCTTTGATTAGTTAACAAACAAAACTACAAAAATGTACTACCATCACTGGAATGATATACTGTATTTGAAAAATTGACCAGAAAACAAAAAAAATAGCATCACATGGAATGGTTAGCATTATAGTCTACTAAAAGTTTTTTTACATTTCAGAGAAGCATCCTGCCTAGACTTTAAGGGTGAAAGTGTAACCCAAACAAACATGTAGTAAATAGCTTGCTTACTTCGCTTACTCTTCAACACTGAAAATGTGTTGCAATCCTCTTAACCGCTGGTGAACTCCTACCAGACTACACAGTGCAACATTTCAGAACAGAGTAATCTTTACAGTAACACATGTGAGAATCTCAAACCTCAAACGAATCATAAAATATTCATAACATACAGAACAGCCCAAAATAAAATAATAGTCAATCAACTTCCATTTTAAAAAACATTCTACACAAATTCTATCTCTGACCCAAGTACTAGAATTGATCCTTGTAGGATAGAAACCACATCATAAGACTGACAGCCATTTACATGTAACGTAATATGGAACATACCTGCAGCCGATGGTCCTAAGCAAGGACTTATAAATGATATTATCCACATAACCAACATAGTCAAGCCAATGGGAGGAATCTACCGCCTGCTGCATACCAAAGAGCTCAAGGTTTTGTTGCACAAGACTGTGGATCTCTATGGCTGCAGCGCTGATCTCGGAGTACCTGATAAAGTACGACATCCTATCATCTCTGTCTAAACATGAAAACAAAATTTTGTGCTCAGTAGGAATTAAAATTCATCTTTGATCGAACAAACCTTCTCTGTACATGCTCTGACCGATCTCCAATACACAGTAATGTATCTTTCCTTCCATCTGAGCGCTCAAAAAGTGCAACTTTGCTCCAGACAGACATAATATTACGAATCCGTTCTATGTTATCTTGTGTCTGTTGTACACGTGCTTCTAGAGAATGTACTAGCTGATGAAGTCGCTCAATATAGTCCCATAAGTCTGAATAAAGCAAAATATTTGTATTAGTGATTCCTTTCAGAGTCCAAAGGTTACACTTTCATAAAAATTAATACAAATTCACATATATAAATTATCTCTTGCAGTGTTTTCAAAGATGGAAAAAGAATTTAATGAAGAGGATTGATCATATCCATGTAATAAAATATCTTGTTAGTGGTTTCCACTGGTTCTTTTACTTCAGAACATTCACCCGTAATATGAAAATTTGAACATCCTCTATCAACGATATACGTTAAAAACTGTCAATGTTTATCAGTTAAGCCAACTTACAGTCTTAAAGCTCTGAACAAAAAGACTACATCTGTACCACAAATGGAATATTAAAATATAAACAACAATGAATAAAACACAAATGAAAAATAAATTGAAGCACAGTGAACAAGTATACAGTGTAGTGGTCTCCCCAAAAGAAAAGAAATTACCTGATGATGGCCCATATGAGGCTGAAACATGTCATAAACTAGAAAAAATATGTGACTAGAGACATTTTAGAAATTGGATAATCACTTTTAATGTACAGAATATGCTTTTAGTGTCCTATTGACATGTAATGATTTTAACATCAACAAAAAGTACTGAAATACATTTTTAGTGTGAAACTTATTCCTAATGCCTGTTATATTGTTGCATTATTGATGGATACCTTGATAATAAGGAAAACTGAAGCAAACTGTGTTTCTTGATATATTTTTACATAACAAAAAACTAAAGAATAGCAAATGGGTATGGTCAAGCTGTTGCCATTATCTGTGTTATGCACAAGATGAAACATAAAGGCTCAAAGATAAATATTTTAAATCTTCTGCCAATAAAGTGGACCAAAATGAGTAGTGACATTTATACCCATAGAGTTCCAATTTAGGCTTGATTGACCCTGCTCTACCAATGCATCAATCTCCTGCACTTTCTCCTCAACCAATGCAAACTCCACTGGGCGACTCAGGCGAAGCACTTTGTTGTACCTGAATCAAATAATTGTGAAAATATTACTTACTCAGCATACGAATATGTGTGCTACAAGAAAAAGAGACCCAGGACAGAATGTTGTCAATAACAGCAATTAACGCAGCTTTCGTCAGTCCTCTGTATTCAGATTAGTAACTAATATAATTAGCTTTCAGGGTAGCTTCATTTTGTAGCACCTTCCAAAACAGTTAGAACATGACATAAACCACAAATATGCAGGGAAAATGTTAATGAGTTATTTATATTTAATTAATGTTATCAAAAAATAAAATTAATTAAATTGATATTTATAATTTTATAATTAAGATTTTTTTTCCTTCACTGAGGAAACCAAAAAAGAGCTGAGAACTCTTGAGGTGTCTGGACTAAAATATCTACCATATTTTGCTTGTTTTTAGAAATACAGTTTATTTAGAAATTCAGGTAAATGTAAATATAAGGGTAAACTCCATATGCTGATCACTAAAGATTCACTAAAAAGAATGTAAGTAATTACAGAACACAATCACGTAATTTATAATATTTAAAACATATACTATATTTATAATATTTATTTCCCGGGTTTTCGCGAGCCTAATAAACATAAAAAAAAACACGAAGCCCATTTACACTACTACTAATCAATAATCCAACTTCCCCAAAATTTCAAATATTTAAAAAAATAATTTTGTTTTTATCTAATGTTGTTTAACCACTAGATTTTAACTTTTAACAGATTTAACTTTTAGCACACATTATTCGAGGCATATCCCACACAAAAGTGTAAACTTAAAACTAAAATTTAGATTATAATATTACTGATAAATATAAAAATGGATCCATTTTAACAATTCAACAACGTATGTAATTCATAAAAAATGTGATGATGTTGACAGATTGAAACATGCAGTGGAATGAAAATAAAATAAAATACAATACAATACAATACAACCTGAATATTAAACATTTTAATATCTGTTTAAAACAAACTGTTGTGTTGACAGCCCCTAGCTATACATTATTATTATTATTATTATTATTATTATTATTATTATTATTCATTTCTTAATTAAATATTTATGTTTCATTCCATATCAGCTATTTGTTTGTTTACTTTTACTTTTATTCATTATTATTT